AATATGTACCTATGTATCCCTCCATGATTGCACGAGACATCTCTTCCTCCTCGAAGTCTGCCTCATCATCCGAACCAACCTGTTCGTCTTCCTCCTCTTTATCCTCCTCAAGCATCTCTTTCGGAAGGTACTGACGGAAGTCAAAGGTGTCAGCCAAATGGAATTCATCACAGTCTTTGAACTTGCCCTTCTTGGTCAGGGGCTCTGACGACTCCTCCTCCTCTTCCTCATTAGATTCTACTATTGACTGATGGAGAAATTAGAACCGAAAGTATCGGGTTTACCTCTGGTAGTTGCAGGGCATCCTCAAGAGGTTCGGCGACGTTACGAGTCTATGGTGGGAGAGAAGACGATGACACCACACAAGGACCTGACCTACCTTTGATTCGAGTTTGGCCCTCCGAGCTTCCTTTGCTCGTTTTTTCAAAGCCTGTACAGAGGCGCGAGTCGCTTCTTCGGTTTTTGAGCGCTGGCGCGCCTGTTCTTGAAAGCTTAAAGCCACCGGTGCGTCGTCTGTCGACTTCTTCAGCTTGAGATCGTCGTCCGATTGCTATAAAAGAACGTATAACGAAATTATAACCGGCAAGTATGTCAGAAGAACAGCTGTAGAATGGTCTAGAAGGCAAAAATTGAGAAAGTTGCGAAATTTACGTCGGAATAACCGAAACCCCAGCAGCTGATGCAGACCAGACAACAGACGACGAATAGTCAGAATCGTGTTATTGATTAAGGCAGCTAAAACTCAAAGTATTTGAAGCGCTTCTGACTTTATTCGAAACCGTGGAAGTTTTCCGTCAGGTAGAATTGGAAAAATGATATCGGACCACTAAAACTTACTACATACTTTGAAGTCGCCAGTTTTTGGCAACGATTTTCACATACTGAATCAGTCAGGACTGAAGACCGTGACCTCGGATAGTTGGCGGCTCGTAATGGGCGAAGCAACCTCGTTCTCTCAGACTGGCTATGAGGTCGCAATCAATACACGCAGTGATTTTATCGTAGCGCTAATAGTGGCTCAACTGGTGCATTTGCGGCTACTGGAAACTTCTGCCGACAGAAACATATTTGTTGGCTTAGGAAAAACGCAGCAGCCTGTACCTGCTTCACCAGTGGGGATGGTCAAACAGGTTTGGTTTCTCGGGAAGATGTAGATGTTAACTTCCTGAAGGTGGCAATAGAACCGCTTTTCATATCCAACGTCCGTGTTTATCATCCCAGATAAGCAAAAACTGGTCAACAAATTTGCGCGGGTAGACATTCACTCTCAATACCCCTTCGAAGGTATAGTAATTCAACAACTTTTTCTTCAGTTTCATTGCAATGCGTCGGTATAGCGTCCTTGTACAACTGCATTTGAGACTGATATAGAGGTTGTTGTTGTTGAAATTCAGTACTTGCATCGTGTTTGTCGTTCTTCTGAACACTTGGGTCTTAGGCCACGACAATCTTTGCGGCAAAAGAAGACATACAGAAAGGTAAGCTGGTTGTGTTTCCCTCCATCGTAAATTGAAAGTCCGGGATTACATCTATGAGACAAAAACAATGAAAAGGGGAATCGCCTCGGATACATCCAAATCATCAAATTCCTGCAATTCTGTCTCAAGGCGTATTTCAAATTCGACAGAACAATCTGTGAGCAGGTGAAGGACACATAATTAGTTCGCAAATTTCCGGACTCATAGTTGAGGCGGTCTTGAAATGGTCCAAGTCGCTGATTTTCCGACACCACAGACCGAAATTCTGGGCTCTGTATGTCGTTACGGGTAATGAGAGCAAATAGTGCACACGTTGCGACACGGCCCTTACTGCTGGCGAGCTCTTCTGTAGGTAAAGAACGTCTCAGAAGCCTCCTCCTCCTCCCTCCACTTGGAATCGCATGCAAACCGGAGGCAACCAACCAAGCTGGATTCCGCGCTGGGCGTGGATGTGCGGATCAGATATTCACACTGAAGCGCATTGTATAATTCCGCCATAGCTACCAGCAACCGACGCTCGTTTGTTTTGTCGACTTCGCCGCCGCACTCGATTCCATCCATCGTGAGTCCCTGTAGCGAATAATGGAACTGGATGGAGTGCCGACC